ATTTCATTACTATAACAACAATCAATTATACACTTTTATTAAAATTTTCTCACAAACAATAATCTTGTTTAAACATTTTTTTATTTTTATTTTTTATAATAGATTGTTACTCAGGTTTTTTTTGCCTTAAGGTTTTTCAAATAATATATTTGTTTAATAGATAGTGGACTAATATTTATTATATCAAATATGCTTATGCATAGTAACTATAAGATTAAAAAAGTGTGCAAAAAAATTATTAACAAAACAACAAAACTAATTAATAAACTGTAGAAAAAAAATATACAAAGAAATTATAAAAGTTAAACTTTTACTTTATTATTAAAAAAAACAAGTATTAAATTCTTTTTCTATTCTGAGTGCCCAAGAATTTTAACTTTCAAAAAATAATATGTATTTGAAAGAATGATCCAAAAAAATTAATATCTCAACTGTAAAAAAATTGTTACTATACTTAATTAAGTCAAAAATATTATTTTAAACTATAAACTATAAGCTTAATTAGCTTGAATATTGCTTATATTATTCAAAAAAGATGTGTATGCTCACTTTAAAGCAGTGTGAATACCATGTATAATAGACTTTTACCCATGTTAAGCCAAATTATAAAACAGTCATTTTTTCAGACAAAACTATTTAAAATATTTCAAAATATCATAACAATATTTTATAAAATTGATAAAGAAATTCTAAAACATTTAGTCAAAATTTATATATGAAGTATATTTTTAGCACAAGGAACTATCAGCTTTCAAATATTTATACAAAATATAGATGATCAGTTTTATTGTGAAATTTTGACTAATAATCTCTTTATAAATACTATAAAAATAATTTCAAGATAATGACTTGAAACATATAGCTAAGAAAAATAGTGTGCTTTTTTGTTGCTAATCCCTGAAGATTCTTGACTAGCCTTTATATAACCCAGATCTTAACCCTATTGAGAATCTGTAAGATATTATGAAAAGAAGAATAGAAAAAAGGTCAATAATATCATAAGAAAAAAAAATATCAATTAAATGTTGGCACAAAATAATTAAAAAAAAGTGGAAACTTATTTCTGTAGATGTGTCTTAATTTGATAAATGACATAATCATGAGATTAGATGAGATAATTAGAAAAAATGAAAAAAAAACCAACCATTAATGTATATAAGTTTTTTTTATATTAAATAATATACTTACTTTTCTCTGAGTTACAAGTTAAATAAATGAATATTCTAAATATTTAAGCTCAACTATAATTCTCATTATTTAGGACCAGCACTGTAGCTATATTGAATCTTATAAAAAGTTAATGATTATGAATTTTCTCAATATAATTCTTACTGTTAAAACAATTAATCTTTTTTGTAATTAAATTTTACATGAAAATGCTTGCCCCCTTAGATGTTGTCAGTGTATGAGTACTTGGTAAATCAAGATACCCAAACAGCACACGTCAGTTTTTTTATCTCTCTTTATATTTTAAACTTTACAACATCTCCATCGACACAGTATTTAATCTTTAGAGATCGATGAATATGTTCCAACTTGACAGAATCTAGCAAGTACTTTACACTCGTTGATCCAAAATCTTAAATAACACGCCTCTTATACATATTTCAATCACAGCTCCGACTCTAGTTGAAATTTTACTAAGGTCACTACTAGGACCGGCCTTTTGACTTTCTAGAACTGTCTGATTTCTTTCTTCTATCCTTGTCCCTGGTAATCCTAGTAACCCTGGTGTCCTTAAGAAAAATAAGAATCTAGAAAAAAAAAATTATTATTTCATGGCACTACTATATATAATAGATAATACATACTGTATATATGTATATACAGATAACACATATGTATAATAGACAAAGAAAAATAAAAAGTAAGAAACTTGAAATTTTGCTAAGTCAACTAGGGATTATAGGGACAGATATCTAAAAAACGATTCTATGGTCCGAAAAATGCTAAAATGCTGGTCTTACTTCCGACCCTGCAATTTTTTTTTCTAGGACCAGTTTTTTCTAGCGACAATGGACAACAATTTAGTTTCATCGAGGATCCGTGTCAAATATTCTATTGTTTGCCCGTTCCGTACCATTTTAGATAGCTTATTTCGATAATAAAAATTTTAACGTGACATTTATCGCATGTAAATTCCATAAGCTATACTTAGAATCAGTCGGTTTATTAAATTCTAAACAGGGGACACGTTGTCACCTTTTCCAATGAATAGCCCATCCTTCTTGCCGATAGCAAGGTCGACCACAGATTTTCCCCTCATTAGTAAGATACTGACAAATATAAGTTCCTGTCGTCGATTATTATTTGTCGAAACTTACTTGATTCCGTATAATATCATCTCAGGTAAAATATTCAATAATTATTTTTGTTTTAAATTTTTTTATCTAGGTAATATATTACAAACAACCTGACTATACTAACCATGGATACCCAAAATTTCCAAGAAAGTATCGATCACGTGCCAGAGATAGAGGAAGAAAATAGTGGGGCCTTCTATCACCAGGGGGCCAAAGTTTTTCCTTAAATTACCAGGGAAGATATTCCATTTTTGCTTTTCGATATTGAAGAATATAACGGATATAAAAATAATGTCCCATATTATGTTTACATATCTATGGTTATCTCAAAAAGCTGTAGTAACCATTTCAAGTATTAAAGTTTTCTTCGATATTCATATTCCCAATAATGAGAATACAAAGTTTTTGAATCCAAGATAAAGAATATTCTTGTTAAAGGAAAAGATGGTGAAGGAGAAAATGTAGATGTGACTGAGCTCCGAATACAATATCTGAAGACTTTTCCGATCAGAGAATATCATTCAGAAAAAATGACATATCTACATATTACAGTATCACAAACATAACAAAACAAAGATCTATAACTCTTAATATTATTTTAAAACATAATTCAGAAACTGAGGGTATGCATAAACTGGTCATATTATCAAAAGGTTGCTAGAGAATATAGAATACCACGGGCATTATTAACTGGTTATAAATACAATAATAATAGATTGCCTTATAGTGCTCGCTCCCCACTTTGTGAACATACATTTTATGTACCTATTAATAATTACCAGCTATAGAAGACCCCTCAATTTTATACAAAAATCATCCTTCACAACTTTTTACTCGTGATCGAGCATTAGTCCTTATCTGGGATATTGAAACACATTCAACACGTGGATTAGAAGATGTACCTTTTGAGAAATATAAAGAAGATAGCATATTCATGATCGGTATGACAGTCCATTGGAAAGACGACCAAAAACCATTGAAACAAATCTTCCTTGTTGACGTTGAAAGCGTACCAGACCCAAATTGAATTACAATCGTGTGTGGAAATGAGAATAATTTATTAAAAGCATTTGCTTTATGCTGGCAGGCACTACAATATCTCCTGATATCGAACTTACGTATAATGGTTCTAATTATGATTGGCCATTCGTAATAGAAAGAATCACCCAGCGAAAAATTTTTAGATTGGATGTTAACAAAAATGTTAGCAAACCCACGAAAAAAAGGTTACTATTGATGCTATTCTTTATTGGAATTACTACGGAGGAGTAGGTGAACCTTTCTATAAAGATTTCTTTCATAAAGAACAAATATGGGGAAAATCTTCGAGAAAAAAAAACAAGGATAGCAAAAAGATAAAAAATCGGGAAGGAGTTGAAATCAAGATCACTCCAGAAGAAATTTTCAAATCCACTTTTCTCAAAGTTCCTAGTTATGTTCCAATCAATGTAATAGTATGCTATAAAAACTTTAATTTACATGCGGATAAACGTCATGCTAAAGCCTTTTATTGTCAGAATAAGCTATCTAAAATGGTACAGAACGGAATCTTTGACACGTACCCTTGATGAAACTAATTGTTGTCCATTGTCCCTAGAAAAAAAAATTGCTGGGGTCGGAAGTAAGACCACCAATTTAACATTTTTCGGACAATAGAATCGTATTTTGGATAACTGTCCCTAGAATCCCTAGTTGACTAGCAAAATTATAAGTTTCTTATTTTTTATTTTTCTTTGCCTATAATACATATGTGTTATCTGTATATACGTTGTAACGGTGATCGGCGAGTCTGTTGCTAATGAAAGCTAAGATTCGCGCAATGTTTGTTAGGTGAGAAGGATATTTTATTAGGGTGAGGCGGATTTGATGTTGGTCGAAGAATTTTACTGCTTTTCCTTTATTTAATTTCTTCTCTTTTATACATTTGGTCCAATAATTACATAATTAAATGTCAAAAAAAAAAGAAAATTTAAATAATAGATCGTGGCGAAACCATTACATAATAGTGTATCATCTTTACATCTTTATCACCACATTACATCATAATTCATTTATCTGACAAGCGAAAGAGGGTCACGTGACGTATTATTCAAGCCTTTCTTCGATTATGTTATAGATTTCTATAACAGTATTTCATACTTGCATGTGCGCTGTTCATTAATACGACATGTTCTGTCCAAGTCAGATCTCGCGATACTTCGGGGATCGATCTTGTCGCAGATCGCGTCACGATTACCCGTGTTACAACATACGTATTATTTATTATATATAGTAGTACCATGAAATAATGAATTTCTTTTTCCAGATTCTTATTTTTCTTAAGGACACTAGGGTTACTAGGGTCAAGGATAGAATAAAGAAATCAAACGGTTCTAGAAAGTCAAAAGGTAAATTTTCAACTAGGGTCGAGCTAGAGTCAACTGGGACAAGGTAAGTTAATATATTTTGATATAATATGTCTTTAAACATGAGTGAAATCGTGGAGATATTACATTTGAGGGAGGTGTGAAGGTAGGAAATAAAATAATGTTAGGAAACGGGAAACGGGAAACGAAAAACTGTACAATATGATTTTGATTTTGATACAATTGATAATGAAATATAAATATGCTCTATTATAAAGAAATTGTTTAGGGGAGGTAGCTTATTTTCGGGACATGGAATTTACACTTTATTTGGTGTAGAAAAATGTGTGTCCTATACTTGACGGCCGTATATTGGAGTTATCTCATAACCGATGACTTCAGCTGGGCTAGTATTAATGGGTTCTGGTGCCGGTTTCCTTCTCATTAAAATACGAACAATAACAACAAATACGAATAGAAGTAAAATAGGACCTATAATGGTTCCTATTTTACCTCCAATAGATAAATTTTCCCAAGGGTTGTTATTTGTGCTTTTAGTATTTGAGCTTTTGTTGTTGCTGGATTTCGAAGGGTTATCTGTAGAATCTGGTACAGTCGGAGCTGTAATTGGAATATATATAAGAGGCGTGCTATTTAAGATTTTGGATCAACGAGTGTAAATCACTGTACTTACTAGATTCTGTCAAGTTGGAACAAGATTCATCGACCTCTAAAGATTAAATGCTGTGTCAATGGAAATGTTGTAAAGTCTAAAAACATAACGCTAAAGAGAGATAAAAAAACTGACGTGTGCTGTTTGGATATTCTGATTTACCAAGTACTCTCATACACTGACAACATCTAAGTGAGCAAGAATTTTCATGTAAAATTCAATTACAAAAAAGATCAATTGTTTCAACGGTATAAGTTATATTAAGAAAATTCATAATAACTAACTTTTTATAAGAGTCAATATAGCTATATTCACATACACACTCTTGATTAAAGTCCGATGGTTTGAAATTACTGGCGGGAGGAAGTTTACCCACAGAACAAGGGGCCAACAAATCATATACGGTATTACATTCTACGCAAATCATAAGGGAAGAATCAATGTCACCATATCCTGTAACGACAGGATTTAAAAATGTAAGAAAGAAAAAGAACAAGTAAAAATTTGATATCATTTTGATGCGTATTTGACCTTTAGAAGTTTGGAATAAAAGATTTATATACCAAATACGTACAGTATATGGTGATTATTAATCGTATGATTTTCAGTGATACGAATATTTGGGTTTTTCAATTTATCGAATGACTTGAATTTTGCAATTCACACATTACACTTTAAGTAAATGTATCCTCAGTTAAGTGACTTGAGTTTTGTGATCGACCCATCACTTGAATGACTTGATTTTTATGAGTGACTTGAAATTTGCGATCTACCCATCACTCGAATGAATTGAATTTTGCGATCCACAAGTCACTCAAATGACTTGAATTTTGTGATCTACACGTCATAGCTGGTCGGAAATAACCTAAACTAAGTGGAAATAACATAATTATGTTATTTCCACTGGCGCCGTACTAGTTGGAATATTAGTCGACGTATGGTTGTTGTACTGGTTGCTGTATTTATCGCCGTATTGATTGCAGTTTGCAATAGAAGAAACGGATGTTTGGTTTTTAGGCAGATATCACATATGCACCCGAGTACAGTATAAACGTTCCTAAATAATATGATGACGATGACATCCGATTAAAATGCTTGAAGGCACGTAATAATATGAAATTACAGTATTTAATATTAAATTAATATTGATGTAATAGACTTAATGTATATACAGTATAATTTTATTTAATTTTTAATTTTTTATTAATTTTTTATTAAGTTTAAATCTCAAGAAGTCCGTATATTTAAATATTTTAATAGAATATTTTATATAAAAATTTTATAACTTTATAATTATAAATAAAAAATAAAAAAATTTTTTTAATCTTACATATAAAAAAATTATAAAATGGTTAATTTATTTTATTTTTTGTAAATAAACATAATTTTTTTATTTATTTTTTATAATATTAAATATACATTATAAAAGAAATAACATCACTTATTCTAATGGACAATAGTATTAAAAGTTTTAAAAGAGAAGTTAACCTTTTAAAAAACAACTATGCAATAAAGTGACTACCATTAAATTATATAAGAGTGAAATGTCCCCTTTTTCCTTTCCACTAGTATAGTAAAAACAATATTATTCTTTTGCCTATTATCACATAAGAAAAAGTAAATAAACTTATCAATAATATTAAATCAAGGTTTCTTTTAAAACTTTCACTAAGACCTGATAGATAAACAATAATTTAATATAAATTGATAAACTAAAGCTTTCAGTTAACCTAAGTATTATGAAATCAGAACTCAATATTAACAAAAATCAACTTGACAAAAATTTTTACAATTCTTACCTATAGTACAATACTTTTTTTATTCTATTTGGAGATACCTTGTGACTGAATCTTATTTGACTATAATGGATAATAATAATGATACTCCACTATAATTAGGCAGCAAATAGTTAATTCTAGTTAAAAAGTTTTCAGACTGGCTAAGAACTTGAAAGAAGGTATAAACAAAATAAGTAATTAATACAAAATCACAAAAAAATACAATGGTACCCATAATTTTTTGGAAATTTTTCAAATGACGATTATCGCGCGTAATTTCTTAATCACAAAAGGTAAGCAAAATTTCGACTTATATAATAGTATTTTATTTGTATCTTAATAGCTCACTATTCCTCACCTTCACTTCCATATAATTTCTTTATGAGAAATAATGATGTTTAATAACTCTTCCAAGAAAAAACCACAACATGAAGCAATTTGTCTTTTGAGAGGCAACGGCATTCGTTCTGCAAAAGAAATTCAATATCACACAGACATCGACCTCTCTACAGTTTATTACAACCTAAAAAAGCTGAAAGAAACAGATAGTATAACTCAACGAAAGGGTGCAGGTCGCCCAAGAAAGGTTACCTCAAGTATTATGCATGCTATAGGTCAGTTTATTCGATGAACACTCACAATACCAGTAAGTGGTTTGGTAAGTAAACTTCAAAAAAAAAATGTGACGCTTAGTAGAGAAACCGTTCGGAGACATCTTTGTGCTGCTGATTATAAAAATTTCATTCCTTTGGCAACACCTATGTTAACAGAGGTGTATAAACAAAAAAGAGTCGAATGGGCTTAATACCACCTCGATGACAACTGGTCGCGTATCTTATTTTCTGATGAAACTTCTTTTCAATTATTTAGGAACACGACAGTCAATAGTATAAGGGCAGCCAATCTATTTGTCGTATCCCTAAAAATCGAAAAAGAATCAATGTGTGAGATGGATTTTGTTTACAAGGTAAGACGGAAATTTATTGCTTTTCGGACACAATGGACGCCTCGTTTTATGTCAGAATTCTTGAAAAACAGCTTCCTGACATCAAGAGAATGATGGGAAATGACTGGCGGTTCCAGCATGATAACGATCCAAAGCACACTAGTGCTTTGATTAAAAAATTTTTCCAAAAAACATCTCCACGGTTATCGAGTGGTTATTTAATAGCCCCGATCTTAACCCTATTGAAAATTTGTGGGGAATTGTTAAAAGAAATGTGAAGGAGTGAAAACCTAAAAATTTAGAAGAGTTGGGGGTGTTAATGGTCGAGGAATGGAATAGCATTCCAAAAAGTGTTTATAAAAATTTGATTTACTTGATGCAGGTGAAATGTCAGCAAATAATTGACATACAAGGAGAAAAAATTAGTTATTAGTAACTATATAACTATATTTTTTTGCATTTATGTACTATGTAATAAATTGTGTCACTTATTGGATTGACTGTTGGTTGTTTAGCAATTGGCAATCAAAAATTTTCAAAAAATTATGGGTACCACTGTATATATACATAAACAGGTTTTAAGTAATTTATTCTGTTTTACAACTATACACTAGTGTTAAACAAAAATAATCTGGCATATACAGTATGTAACAAAAAAAAATGTGTTTTTTATTATTATTATAATTTAATAAATAATAATTCAATTAATATAAAACTTTAAATATGACTTTTTTAAAATCTAAATAATATAATATCAAAGTTTTTTTAATAATTAATTAATAATTTTAGTTTAATTTATTGGTTAAAAGTTAAAAAAAATTTCTTTAAAAAATTTTTGACTAATATTTATATATAATTTATAGACAGAAAATACTATAATAATTTTTTAAAAAAATATATTATAAAATTCAAAAAAAATTATTTGATTTATAAAAAAATTATAAAATGTTTTTTATTATATTTAAATTGT